TACATATATATATATAAAAGAAACTGGTTCAGACTCGCCTGGGCTCTACCCTTGCATTGAAAACTAACTCCAAGGATGATGAAATTGTTTTTTTAAGTTTATTTATTTTTGAGAGACTGAGACAGAGCATGAGCAGGGGAGGGGCAGAGAGAGAGAGAGAAGGAGACACAGAATCCGAAGCAGGCTCCAGGCTCTGAGCCGTCAGCACAGAGCCCAACGCAGGGCTCGAACCCATGGAGTGCGAGATCATGACCTGAGCCGAAGTCAGACGTGTAACCGACTGAGCCACCCAGGCGCCCCTGAAAATTTCAATGATGATAGCTGTCCACATAGCAGTCTTGTGAGTCACAGTGCTCCAGTATATATTGTTTGGCGGCCCGACGGATTTGTCACCCTGGGCTTGTCTAGCCCCACCTAGGAGGTTTACTTTGGTTCCTCTTCTGTGTTGTGTTCCCCATGTGTTACGTTACATGCATTCCTCAACCTTTTGCAAACTCAGACTTTTGTTAGAGGAAGTATTGCAATAGCTCCTTGAAAGAGAATGTGTCTTTCATTCATCCTTGCAGTTGTTTGATAGCATGGATCATGTGTAAAAGTCTAGAACGCTGAAGGCATTGTTTGATTGCCTGCCCGACCATGCAGTGGCCTGTATAGTTTAAGACCATCTAATCCCTGATCCTTTATATCAGTTATTCCTCTCTGGAATCTAGTTATTCCTCTCTGGAAAGTCATAGATACTTCTTTGTCCCCAATATTGTTAAATTTTAAAATACAATGTCTTTCTCTTGTTTTATTATCATCGTGCTGGGCACATGTCGGGTCACTTTAGTTTGAAGCAAATGTTCTTCAGTCTAAGAAAAATTTTTTATTTGGTTTATTTCTGGTAATTATTCCTTTCTCTTTTCTCTGGGTTTTGAAATTCCTATTATTTGAATGTTCAGCCACTTGGCTGAGTCTTATTTTTCTTAGCATTTCTCTTGTATTTTATGCCTCCTTGTATTTTTGCTCTACTTTTATGGCAATTTCCTCAACTTTGTCTTCTATTATATCTATTGAACTGTATTTATTCTATCAATTTTTTATTTTCAAGAATTTTTTTTTGTTTTCTGAATGGTGTTCCTTCTCCTTTTTCTTCCTCCTATTACTTATTTTATTTTTAAATAGTTTTTTAAAAATGTTTATTTTTGAGGGAGAGACAAAGCATGAGTGGGGGAGAGGCACAGGGAGAGAGGAAGACACAGAATCTGAAGCAGCTCGAGGCTCCGAGCTGTCAGCACAGAGCCTGACGCAGGGCTCAAACTCACAAAGCGAGATCATGACCTGAGCGGAAGTCGGACGCTTAACCGACTGAGCCTCTCAGGCGCCCCCCTCCTATTCTTTATCTTCTTTTAATATGATCTGTTTATATTTCATAGATGGAATATTTTATTTTAACTCTTTGAGGATTCCCCAAGAGGAGGCTTCAGATCTCTTTCCAAAAAGGCAGGGTTCTGGCTACTAGCTTTGGAGAGCCTAGTGAGGGAAGAAATCTGGGGATCTGTATTCTGCAGATAGTCAGTAAGTCCCCATTGTCTATAAAGTAATTGTACCTGCTAAGAGTGGCTGGTGGAATCTAGTGATCTATTTTAGCCGCCCCCTCGACCCTCAGTTCTTGAGACATGTGATGCTGACAGTTTGCAAGATTCCTGGGGGTTTTACTGTAAAAATCATGTTGGTTCTCATCATTCCCATCCATGGTTTAGGACTGGACTATATAGGGGCTGTGGGTCATTTACCAGTTTTCCATTTGCTTTATCTGTTACTATCTTCTCACTGTGTCTCCTCTTTTTTTCTTGGTTTATGTCTTTAAAAAACCCATTTACTGTAATTTAGTAGCATTTCGGACAAGAGAAAAGGAAGTATTAAATCTGTCGTCAGAATTGAAAAACCAGCTTGGTTTTTATTGCTTAACACCTGTAAATTCCATTTGATCCCTGCAATACAAGTTCCATCATGTAGGCTGAGTACTGGTTGTTGCTTATTGGAGTCGACTAAAATCTTTAAGGCCAAAATAAGATGAATCATCAGGATTGGGGATAATGACTCTAATGCTCAAGTGACAACCACCTTCCTTGCTCTCAATTAATATGAAGGAAACTTCCCTGAAGTGGTAGTTAGTTGTCAATATTGTAAAATGGAGGTGATAATTTTCTCTAAATTTCTTCCGCCATCATGTCCAGCCCCAGATGGAACTGTCAGATTACAATATTTTTATACTACAGTTATTTTTCCCATTACGGAAAGAGTCGAAGTTAGTTTTAAGAAAACAGGAATATATCTTATGCAACTACCAGCTAATCCTGATAAACTGAAAGATATATGATTGTATGTATTTATTTTGTAGCTAAAGTTGTCCTAAAGATAGTAAAGGGAGTATAGGAGAAAGAACATTGATGTTTTGGTTATTCATTTTTAAATACAGCATTGCATTTAATTTCATAAAATCCTAGAAGAAACCCATCCTAAATACCATAGTCTTCACTTTAAGGATTGGAGGAATTGAGTAACTTGCAGGACCAAAGAGCTAATGTGAGTAATTCCGTAAGATTAAAGCGGTGCTGAGATTTGAATTCAAGAGGGAATGACTATACCCCCTTTCTACTGCACACTGCTCCTTTCATAGGATAAATTTGACAGCAAATTGTCAGTAATCATGGTATGAAATTGTGGCAGAGAATGCCCCTTTTTTTTTTTAAGCCCAATTAATAGCTAACATCAATCAAAAGCACTCTTTCTCTTACTTGACTTCTAGAGGAATAATGCAAAGTAGCTGATTTTATACTTATAGTAGAAACAAATGACAGATCTTTGAAAACTTTTTCCCAGCTCTGCCTTCTTCATTCTAGGTCTGGAATATCTACTGTCTAGTTGTAGTTTGAAATATCTGCTCGAAGTGCATTGAATTTGTGACCGGTTTAACTCCAAGCATTGATAATAGAAGGAAATCAGAGATGTTAACAGGATTCCTGCATTTCTATAAAACGTGTCTCTTAATTCAAGTAAATAGATGATATTGATCAAATTTTATTTCTCTACGTTGGCACGTTTGAAATTAAGAGAAAACATCGAGCCTGGGTGGCTCAGTCAGTTGGGCAGCCGACTTTGGCTCCGGTCATGATCTCACAGTCCATGAGTCGGTGAGTTCAAGCCCTGTGTTGGGCTCTGTGCTGACAGCTCAGAGCCTGGAGCCCACTTTGAGTTCTGTGTCTGCCTCTCTCTCTGCACCTCCCCCACTCTCACTCTGTCTCTCTCCTCTCAAAAATGGATCAACATTAAAAAAATTAAAAACAGAGAGTAAACATCACTGAACAAGATTCTAACATGGGCTATAATATCATGTTAGTTACAGCTATAATCTATTTCCACAACATTTGACTGACTTCTAGGCAAAAATTCTAGATTTTCTTCCTCACTCCTCAAGTGATAGAAATCTTTATTTTCTCCTTACTTCGGTAGGTAACCTGTAGGCTAGCTGAGGATGATTACTTTAATCAGTACTTTTAGGAATCTCCTCACTGAATTTCCCTTCCATTTCATTTAAAGATGCATGGTTACCATACTAATGACTTTTCTGATGTTTCTGTTTATATTCAAAGAAAAGAGACAAGGTATTTCTCCAGATTATTATTTCCTCCAAACATGGGACACTTTACAGGGCTCCTCACGCTTTTGCCTGCTGACTGTCTTGCTTAGCTTCTGAAAGAACAGGTAAAGGCAAGCCCCGGGTCCAGTACATGCTCCCTCTCCTGCTCCAAACCTTTGTTTCTTTGCCTCCCCTGGAAAGCTGACTTAGCCCTGAAAGACATACTTTCTCTTTCACGCTCGAACACGCTCTAAGCCCTTCTCCCTCTTTTCATAAACTTTTTCTGAATGTCTACCGTGGCTCTACCAGACATTATGGTTGTGAAGGCAAATGAGCATTCCTGATGAGAGAGTTCATACTGAGTCATATGCCTACATAATTCTACAAGATGATGGGTGCTTTCAAGACTTACGTATGCAGGACGTGGTTTCCACTAGAGAGGTTCATACCACACCCTGTTCCTCCAGGTTGCCAGTCTAGGAGGTAATACCTAGAAACAAGTGATTTCTTTTTTTTTTTAATTTTTTTTTTTTCAACGTTTATCCATTTTTGGGACAGAGAGAGACAGAGCATGACCGGGCGAGGGGCAGAGAGAGAGGGAGACACAGAATCAGAAACAGGCTCCAGGCTCTGAGCCATCAGCCCAGAGCCTGACGCGGGGCTCGAACTCACGGACCGCGAGATCGTGACCTGGTTGAAGTCGGACGCTTAACCGACTGCGCCACCCAGGCGCCCCGCAAGTGATTTCTTTATCTCTAGACTACCCTCGCTTCTCTAACTAAAAGAGCCAGCGGGGCTTCATATCTTATGGAAAGCCTAAAACTACTCTTAGGCAAGAATTAGTCCCTCTGTCCTGTAGTTTTCAAATGACTAAGCTCATACTTTTATATACCCTATTACAGTTATTATTTTTTGTGTATCTGCATGTCTTCTCTACTACTTTGTGAGTTCCTCAAGATTTTTCCATACATTTTGAATGTATTTTATTTCTCTATTGTTAATTTTTAATGCCCTCCTGTTTTGCGCTTTCAGACCTTTATTGATGATGAGGCTTTAAAAAGTCAGTGAGGGGGCGCCTGGGTGGCGCAGTCGGTTAAGCGTCCGACTTCAGCCAGGTCACGATCTCGCGTTCCGTGAGTTCGAGCCCCGCGTCGGGCTCTGGGCTGATGGCTCAGAGCCTGGAGCCTGTTTCCGATTCTGTGTCTCCCTCTCTCTCTGCCCCTCGCCCGTTCATGCTCTGTCTCTCTCTGTCCCAAAAATAAATAAACGTTGAAAAAAAAAAATTAAAAAAAAAAAATAAAATAAAATAAAAAGTCAGTGAGTGAAAGATTTTAGAAAATCTTCAGTGAACACCACTGGCATATCATGTGCTTGCCAGTCTCTAGTTGGTTAATTCAAAATTTTGAAGGGTGTTTTTTTGTTATGTTATAGATTTAATAGTGTCACCATACTTTTAAAATTAGAAATAGGCAATACATTTTTTTAAGTGTGGGGAAGGAGGCTGTTTTTCAGTACTGCAGGAATCTTACGGTTATATCTGAGGGGGGACGTTCTATCCATCAAAGTCCTTGTATAACATTTACCACCTCCTAAATATATAGGTTGTTTAAGGCACATAAGAGCTTTTCCTGTTTCCTGAAGCCCTGTTGTTATCATGTTTACACTGGCCGTCTTTAAGATCAGTTGGATTTTTAAGCTGTAAACCTTCTAGGAGCTTTTTTTGTTTTTGTTTTTTAAACATTTTATGCCTATTTAGTTCTGGTGGTGGCCAGCAGGTGGCAGCACCTCCGGGAGGGAGTCTCTTGAATAGGGAACCATGGCAAACTGACAGAAGGACTAAGCCCCATGCATTCAGGAGGGAAAGGGGGTAAGTGTCCAGAATCATGATTTTTAAATTACTCTCTGGTGGTACATTGACTATTGAAAATGCAGGCATTGATGATTAGCTGGCTGTGAACCCCCTCCTGGTCCTGCCAATCCACCGTTTCCATGACATTACCCTCCATACCTGGGCCACCAAGACAAAAGGAAGGCTGGCCGGGTGGCCAGGGACAGCACAGATCGTGCAAGGAAGGGAAGGACAACTGCAGAAATAAAGAGACTGGGTCACAAGGAAGGTTTAAGGAGAATTTTGGATAATGAAATGTCCAAAACACTACTTACATTTCTGAGATACTTTTTTTAACCATAAGAAACACATTTTGCCAATCTAGAAAAATCAAATATGTTATTTTAGACTTTTCTCTTTCCTTCACCCTTAGCTATCCCTCTGGGTATTCTAGTTGTGCGTGGAGACTGTGACTTGGAGACTTGCCGTATGTACATAGATCGCCTACAGGAGGTGAGTTTCTTTAGCCAATTGTTTACTCTCAGTTTTCCATTTCTGTAAGCAATTACCAACCGTATATATTTGCTTCTGAAATGATGCATTTGAGAAGGAAATGGAAACGTGGTGTCCTTGTCTTTTAAGCATCGACCAGATCGTCTCTCTCCCCAGCCCCCACTGCTATTTTCCCTCCTCCCGTGGTTGAAATGGGAAAGAAGGTTGCTCTAGTGTGATCCATAACTATAGCTTGGAACTTCTTGTCTTCTTGCCACACTGCGTATCTGTATTTTTTGAGCTATATTGAATTTCAAAGGGCCCTGATGAATAATGAAGGAAAACAGAGAGTTAGGTGGTTTAATGTTTTGTATCTAGCACAGACTTCTGTCAGAGATCGCTACATTTTTTAAAAATATAACTTCTACAGGAAAGAAAAACCTTCTATACCTCAGAGAAATTTGTGTCAGAACACAGAGGAATTCTCGATTCTTTCTGTCAATCTGGCTTACCATAGAGGAAGGCAATGGAGGAGACCTCATAAATCACATTCTCATGAATTTGAATTGCACCAGCAAAGCCAGGGACCCAAAGCCATCCCTGCAGTGGCCACTGATTGTTCTTGCAATACTTTGACGGGGAGTATTCCCTGTCTTTATTCTACAAATGGCGAAAGCATAAACAATCACTTCTTTCATTGTTTTTTGTTTTTTTGGTTTTTTTTTTTTGATGAAAGATGCACATTAAAACATTTATTTTCTGGATGTGGTCTAGACATTGCTATTTTTAAAGCTACTGAGTAATTATGATAGATACCACAAGATGAACAACTCCCTTCTAGACGACACATTCTACATAAGTAAATATCACAAATAAAGAAGATACATAGAACATAGATACATAGAAGATACATAGTGGCTTCAAATTGTAGCCACTTAGCTTTGAACATTAGATTCTATTTCTCCTGATAGAAATAAATACAGGCAGAAGGCATAAAGTAAGGTGAAAAATTATGACTTTTTTTCTTCACCATTTTTAAGGATAGAAATGGAATTGTGAACACAATATATTTTGATGTAGATACCAGATTTTGAATACTGATATGGGTGAGAGAAGAAAAGTCAACAAATTTTACCCTTGTGGTTTCATTCGGCTGTTTTTACCAAGGATAACTTTAACATGTTAAAATTTGTGGACTTTGTAGTGTGTGACTCAGGCCCCAATAAATATTCCTGGAACACAAAATGTCTCATTTTTCAAAATAATGGTTTTATGTTATTGTGCAACCTCACTCAAAAAACCTGCAATAAAAAAGCAAATCATAAATGATACCAAACCTTTTTTTTTTTAACTCATAGGTAATTTGAGATTTCACAGTAACAAACTACACAACTGATGTATTGACTTTGTTGAAAACTAACTTATTAGCATGCTTATAATACTAATATTCAACTAACAGTAGGATTTAAAAAAAATAATGAATGAACTCAAAGAGAAATTTTAAAACTAAGTTGGGCACAGAGAGTAAGTTGGTAAAGCCCCGTGGGAAGCAGGTATGGGGACAAAGGAACCCAGGATTGACGACATCTGTAAATAGAATCACTACACTCATTAACAAGGAAACCTTCAGGACATGACCACGGTGACAACTTAGTTATAAAACTTTATAAAGGGATTCAGACTCTCAGAATCTGCCAGCAAAACCTCATTAGTTTCAACCCTATTAATTTGCACTTCGTGATAATGCGGAGGTGGCCAACGATTTTCTCTTCACCGACTATGAAAACCCATGTTTGCCTAGTACTTCTCGGTCTAAACACAATTACTGTGACAGTTTGTATTAGGTCTAAGATGAATAAATTCTTCCTAAGTACTTAGAGGGATTTTAGAGACTTTCTTCATAAGCCAAAAGTTCAGATGCAAATTAAATATGACCTCTTTTTTATTAAAATGGGCTGTTTTTTACTTTTGGCCTTCTCGATCCTTGGCATTCTATCACTAAACATCTAAACCATTCTATCACATCTAAACCATTTAAAATTTACAGATTTCAGTAGCTAAATGGCCTTTCTTCTCTCAGTCCAGCTTGGTATGCTTTTGTTATTTGGGGCATTATCTTCTTTGTTTAACCTTGATGAATTTGGAAGAGTTAGATACTTTCTAGCTGAGTTTAATAATATTAAATTGGGCGTTCAGTTGATAGAGTGGTAGAGGCAACTTGTTAAAACTCATTTTAAGGTATGGATTTTTTTTTTTCCCATTTTCCCATTAGGACCTGCAGTCAGTTTCTTCTGGCTCCCAGAGAGTTCATTACCAGGTAACACATAATTGAACCCCCTTCTTTTTTTTTTTACCCCCTTATCCCCCAAAAAAGAAGGTCCATCTTTCAATCAGTGCTTCATTTGGATTAGAGGCCACGTCTTCCCTAGGGATAGAGTTTACGCTAAGAATCAAGTGAAGTGGACATTCTGATTCTTTTACATTTTCCTGGTTTTGGACAATCCTAGTATAGCACAAATTTGGATTGTGAACTTTCTCCCAGATCATTTAGAAAAGATTATAAAATGAAGTGCTTTTAATGACAAATATTAGAAACTCAGTTCACACTAGTTTGACGGGGAAAGTGTCTATTAGTTCACATCAGCAAAAAAGTTCAGATCAAGGGTGGATTTAACGTACGGTTTGGCCATGCTTCATGCTCCATTTTTCTGCTGGTCTTTCTGCTCTGTTCTCTTCTTTCCATCAATTTCACCTCTGAACTAGATGTTTCCGTGTCCAAGATGGCTGCCATTAGCAACCAGGGCTGCATGTGTCTTCTTCACATCCAGGAAAGTGAGTTCTCTGTTTCCCACAACCATCAAGCAGATGTTCTAAAATGCAGTCTGACTGGTGCATCCTGGTCTTTTGGACAGGATCTAAGAAACCCAGCCTGCCTGTCTCTCGTGATCCACATCAAGTCCACAGGAGAACACTCAGATATCCTTTGCCCCAACAGTCTCTGGGAGGGCTGTTACCTCCCCACTTCCCTGCCCCTACTCTGCTGTACAGGCCTCTCCAGCCATCCTCTTAGAAATTAGATTTCTCAGGCACGGTTCAGATCCCATTGCGCAGTATTCCCCAGACTACGGGGGGGCAAACTCAAAGCTCTGAGCAGTCCCGGTAAAGTCCTTTCCTCTGAGAGGTCAGTCCCCTTCCCTGCGGGAGGGTGTGTGGGAGTCAGAGCATGCCAAGACTCCCTCCAAATACCCTGTCCTAGACCTTTTTATAACTCCATGTGGGGGGACAGGTGTTTAAAAATGTCTAAATCTGTGAATCCTGGTTTAGCACCTCACATTTGTTTTTGGTTTCTTTTATGCTGCACCTGAAATTTGCACCTGAATATCTTTTTGTGTAAACAACAATGTTTAAAAACTATACCTTGTAACGTGTTGGTAGCTTCTCCTCCTGCCAGTGGATAATGCCCTGGGTCCAGGCAGCCTGATTATCCTGATGCTTAATGACAGAAATAGTCTTGGTGTTCTTGTTTGTTTGTGGGTTTAAGTTTCAAACAAAGTACCCCACTATTGAAGAGTCCTTTCTTCCATCTGGCTGCAATAAAAGGGATAGGACTTCACTTAGGGTGTGTTTACATCGAGGAAAAAAAAAAAAAAAACAACTCTAGTTCCGAGACTGCTTTTTATCAACCTCGAAAGGGCAAATTTCCACTTTATTTTTAGATAGAGCACAACATTCCTCCCGGTAGCTACTTGCATATTTACCTAAAGCCACTATTTCAGTTTCATTTTATTTTTAAAAGTTCAGTACTTTTAGAGGCGAGGGCTGATCTCTGCTCTTTAAAAGTTGACCTATTCCCCGTAAGATTTTGCGAGTCTGTTTGTCTGTGTTTTTAAAGAGTTTGTACTCTTTTCTCATGGATGTTTTGCATCTTTGCATTTTTATTTAGACATTTCAGATATTTATTCTAACTAGTTTTATGAGACCAATACTATTTATTATTCTGGCTTATTTGATATAGTTATTTTGCTGTGAGAGTTGTGACAGGTAGATATTTTGTACTGTGTTTTCTCTCCACCACGTTTGTGTGTGTTTGCGCAGGGATCAGGAGGTGGTTGTTTCATTTATTATTTGGTAACAAAAACATGCAGAAGAATTAGTGGTATTTATTGGCTATATCAAAAGTTTGCTGTGTTTTTGTTTGCTTGCAGTCAAGTCGAACTTGGGTGTCAAAACTGTTGTATTATCAATGTCACTTCAGAAGACTTTATGCACTGACCATACAGGCCAATGCAGTGGCCAAACTTCAGTGTCTGGAGTGTTACGTGCCCCCACCCCTCCTTGCGGAATTATAAAAATCAGGGGCCTTTGGGTATTAAGGGAGGAGTGGAAAAAAGATCTAGGGTCTAAGCCCAAGATCTGCTCACTGAACAGGCAGCTTAAGTGAGAGAGACTGTTTGAATTAACATGGCCAGAGAGTAGGGAGAGGGTGGTGAGGAAATTTCCTGAGTGGAACAAAGGAGAGCTGGTTAAGGGAAGGAGTTGGGGGAAGATGAATGTACATGTTTGCTTGGGATCTTGGGCAGTCAGGAGGAGGAGGAGTGAGTGAGAGGGGTGGTGAATAGAGAGTTCTGTTTTGGCCACACCGATTTTGTTATGCCTATTAGATCCAAGAGGTTTGGGTGTGTAGGAAATTAGATGTACACATTTTAAAGCTTGAAAAATTCAGGCCTGGAGATAGAAATTTGCACATCGTTAGGAAATGGATGGTATTTAAATGATGAAGCTGGAGGACATCACCCAGGGAGAGTTTAGATAAAGAGGAGGGCTTGAAGTCATAACACCATGTACTAATGGGTCGAAGGTGGTATCATGAAAGCCAGGAGTGAAATGTGTCTTAGAGAAGGAGGAAACGGTGAATTGTGTCATTGCTGCTGAGAGGCTGAGATGAAGGAGACTGGATTCTAAAATACTCTGAGGATGTGTAGAAAAACCACGGGATAGAGGTGCTGTTAGCTTTTTTTTTTTTTTTAA